TGGAGGAATCCCAAGCCGGAATTAAGATTGCCGGGAGAAATATCAACAACCTCCGATATGCAGATGATACCACTCTGATGACAGAAAGTGAGGAGGAATTAAAGAACCTTGCAATGAGGGTGAAAGAGGAGAGTGCAAAAAACGGCCTGAGACTCAACATCAAAAAAACTAAGATCATGGCAACTGGTCCCATCACCTCCTGGGAAATAGAAGGGGAAGATATGGAGGCAGTGACAGATTTTACTTTCTTGGGCTCCATGATCACTGCAGATGGAGACAGCAGCCACGAAATTAAAAGACGCCTGCTTCTTGGGAGGAAAGCGATGACAAACCTTGACAGCATCTTAAAAAGCAGAGACATCACATTGCCAACAAAAGTCCGAATAGTCAAAGCTATGGTTTTTCCTGTAGTGATATATGGAAGTGAGAGCTGGACCATAAAGAAAGCTGACCACCGAAGAATTGATGCCTTTGAATTGTGGTGCTGGAGGAGGCTCTTGAGAGTCCCTTGGACTGCAAGGAGAACAAACCTATCTATTCTAAAGGAAATCAAACCTGAGTGCTTGCTGGAAGGACAGATCCTGAATCTGAGGCTCCAGTACTTTGGCCATCTCATGAAAAGAGAAGACTCCCTGGAAAAGATCTTGATGTTAGGAAAGTGTGAAGGCAAGAGGAGAAGGGGACGACAGAGGATGAGATGGTTGGACAGTGTCTGCAAAGCAATCAACATGAAATTGACACGAATACGGGAGGCAGTGGAAGATAGGAAGGCCTGCCGTGCTCTGGTTCATGGGGTCACGAAGAGTCAGACACAACTAAACGATGACTAAACTTGTTTTGAAGGGCGACCTTGACATACAGTGTATTACTGTAATTCAACAGGGAGAATCCCCTGTGCAGCAAGCAAGGAGGACCCTTTCTGTAAAGTTGAGGTAAAATCGGGAGGGTTGCATCTTGTGGTTCTCAGCCATGAGATTTTCTTGGGAGAAAGTACTCTGTTGGCTCCAACCAGCCATCTTCCTCATATTGTACTTTTGTCACTTCTCCTTATACAGGGGTTACAGCAGAGCACTGAGTCTCCAATACATTTCAAATGCTTAGAATTGTCACTATAACCATGATGTGTTTACCTGGCTGTTGTTCTTTGCCTCAAATTCAGTACAACCACATTCCTTCAGGCTTCTTAGCTTTTCAATACTCTCTCCTAGCAGGTAACAAACCAGCCATTTGTATGCTTTTAATGATACTGAAAAATAAAAAATAAAAATAAAAAAGTTTGATATTTACAGTATATCCAAAGTAATGCAATTTGTAATAAAACAAACAGGAAAATATATTAATAGTTTCCAGGTGTGCTGTATGCATTCTACAGAAATAAGAATGAATCCTGCTGCATCTTGAAAGCTTGACAAAGTTAATTAGTGTAAACTTTCGTAAACTGCATCCAAAGAGATGCATTTGAAGAAGCAGGCTGCAGTCCACATCCATTTATGCCAAACAAAACTTGTCAGTCTAAAAGGTGCCTTAGGACTCTTGGTTAATTTTGCAACAAAATATTAATAAAGCCAACTTTTTGAATTTTCTTTTTCCTGCAGATGTAAGTTTTATATGTAGTCACAAAACTGCATAAAACCTTTTCTTGCAGAAGCTACCTGGTGCTTCCTCTCAGCAGCTCAGAGATTTGTTACTGAAAAACAGGATAGATAGGTTGCCATCATGCCAAATAGTATTGTGGCGACAGGTGCTGTGTTTTTTGACCTACAAACAAGATTCTCTCTAAGGTGCACTGCTGCGTGAGCACGTAGTGCTGCACCCCCCACCGCACTGCATCTCTCCTCCTCCACACATCTACAACAAGTATTTCCAGCCCCTTTGGTTCCAATCATGGCGGAACTCCATATAGGAGGGTGGAATCACGCACGCAAGAGGCACAGCACCATCCACAGGACTGAAAATTAGAGGAAACATTGCCTACAAGTGTCTTTTAAGGTGGATAAATGGAACAGCCAGAAGGCACAAAGTTGGGTCCACTCATCTGGTGAATTAATACAAGAGAATCTCAAAACTGTCATCATGCTACATGGAATACAGTGGACCCTTGACTTACAGACGGCTTGACTTACAGACTTTTTGAGTTACAGACTTCTCTGGCCGCAAAATTTAGGTTTGACTTGCAGCGTGAGAATTGACTTACAGACCAGAAAAAAACCAAAATGGAACAAAAACGGCCTGTTACGGGATTAATCAGTTTTCAATGCACTGTAGGTCAATGGAGACTTGACCTACAGACTTTTTGACTTGAGAACCACCTTCCAATACAGATTAAGTTCTCAAGTCAAGACCCCACTGTATGATATTTCACAGCCTTCCTTTCCTACTCAATGCATTCACTCTGCACACTACTCACAAATACTTCTTCCCATCAGTCCTTTTGGGGGCTAAGGACAAACAGTGATTTAAGGATCATCAGAATGGCATTTGAGCCCTGAAATCGTTTAGGATTTATGTGCCAGAGCTTTCCTGCTGCCATGCTGCCTGCTGATTTCATTACTTAAAACCAGAAGTCAATGTTCTAGACCAGTGACTCCCAACCTTGGGTCCCCGACTGTTCGTGGACTGCAACTCCCAGAAATCCTGGCCAGCACAGTTGGTGGTAAAGGTTTCTGGGAGTTGTTGTCCAAGAACATCGGAGGACCCAAGGTTGGGAACTACTGGTCTAGAGGCAGCATACCTGGTGGAATGCCTCCTCCCACCCAAATCTACTCGTATCACTCGGTCTAGCCAGGAGGTGAGGCTGAGGAGCCTAACGCCGAGGGAGGCCTGGAAGGAAAAAACAAGAAACCAGGCCTTCTCGGCAGTGGCTCCTCGCCTTTGGGATGGCCTCCCTTCTGAGATTCGTATGGCCCCTTCACTGGGCATTTTCAAATGCCAACTGACAACCTGGCTATTCAGGCAAGCCTTCCCTCCAGCCACCTCTTGATTTATTTTGTTCTCTCACCTTGAGTCTTTGTCTATTTGTACCATATTTTAAATGGTTTATTTTATATGCTGTTCGCCGCCCAGAGTAGTTGGTTGACTAAATGGGCGGGGTACAAATTCAATTAATAAAATAAATAATAAATATATGTGCATGTCACCTCTACTGAGGGAACATTGAGAGGGGAAAAACTGGGCCAGGCTTTTGGTTGACTCACATATATTGACTGGTTGCCAAGACTGGTTGTTTTTATGGAATTTGAAACTAGAGATATAGCAGTGGCTTGGGCTAGAAAGAACCCACACCCTGCCTCCCATTTTTGTAGCATGCAAATCAGACAAATGGCCTGTTTGTTTCTGCCCCTCTCCCCACAAGAATGCCCCTCCTTGTCCTTCTCTCTAGCTATGAAATGAAAGAAGACCATTCTGACTCTTGGACCATGTGAACGTGAAAAGTTAATGCAAAAAGCAAAAAGATCAAGTAAGGTCAGATGCAAGAAACACCACACCATCATGAGTGAGCGAGAGAGAGAGAACTCATGCCTCTGAAATGCTTTTTATGAACAGTAGCTAGAAACCAGATCTTTCTAAGTGAATATTAACTCAATTAACACCAATAACCTAAGCGTACCACAGGGTCTCAAACTGAGGCTTAATAACAATCTGCAAGAGGCTTCTGATTGCTACGTATGCTTTTGGAGGCTCACGTCTCCAGGGGAGCAAAGGATGGTACAGGAACAAACTGTAACTTCTTCAGAACTGCAGAGGAGGGTGGATACTTATACAGGGCCTAAGCCCCCACCTCTGAAAAGGTTAGAGTTGCCTTTTGCAGCTGTGTCAGCACTCCCTTTTGGCAGCACCACCTGAGAACTGAAGGAGAGAAAGCCCCGAGTTTGCACACTGCAAGCCCTGAAAGGAGACGGTTTGAGTGAAAAGAGACCACGTCTAAAACTAGTCAGTGGGAATAAATGAAATGTGATTACACACTTACCTGAAGAATCCATGCAGTCTTGAACATTTGACACAGTGAATTTCTGACAAAGGATATGATCATAGTCTTCCAAAAAATTTACTGATCCCAGTGGTGACTTAATAGGACTTTTGTCTGAAATGCCAATGATATATCTAAATATCAAATCACAGTGCATTAAAATCTATGAACTAATGGCTGTGAAAGTCAGTCAAATGCAATCATCTCCTCATCTGTGCATTCACCATAGCTAATCTTCTCTAAACTGTGGTCCTCCCTCCATTTTTCCTAGCCTCAACCATGCATTCTATGTATATATACATCAGTATTTGAGAATTTATCCTTTCGCCTCTGTAAACTTTTAATAAATCAATCTGCATTTTGTAAATTATGCACAACTGTGCTCTCTTTATTCTACCTGTGTTATGTTCTAGTTATGCTTTAGCAAGCATCCCAGAGATAACAAGAAAAACTACATCTCCCTCTCCACAACTGGAGAAAACTCACAGATTCTCTTTCTTGGTCCCAGCAATAAGATCCAAGATCATCACCCCTCTGAGTTCTCAGGTGTTCAACATGGGGAAAACTTTTACATCTGCTTTAGAGCTGGTGAGGCAAAGAACCTCCCTCCCACTAAAAGCAAACCATGACAGGAGAATAGTTTCAAAAATTAGGAGTGAATGCTACTCCCTCCTAACTTCTGGCCAAGTCACGGCAGCATCTTGGAGATGTCAGTGCCTGGGTCTCAGCATGCCTAGTGAATGAATTCAATTAGTTAAGAGATTCCATTGCTTTCATTTGCTAGCCCAGAATAAAACCAACCATGTACTAGAGATTAAAAGAAGCCAGATGGCACCTCCTCCTGATAGTTGTAACTGTTCAATTAACACTCAGAATTTGTGTTAAAATCACATTTTTCATATGCAGAGACAACATACCTATTTTCAGTACTTAAGAGATGATGCTTTATTTAAGGGATGATTCACAGATTAAGCTGAGGGGGCAAGAGCATCCCTATTGCACATGTGGAAAAACTAACATCTAAAATGTAGGTGTGATGCAGCAGTATGAGTCAGGGAGCCCAGACACTCAGCTGTGAGAAAGCATCATTTGTGGACACTTTATCACAACCCTTACAGTGGTGCAGCAGCCACTGCATCAGGATGCAGGAAAAAGAAGGAGAAAGGAGAAGCAAACTTCTGGACCAGTTCTTTCGCAAAGCAATCAGGCTTTTTCAGTCCCTCAACTGCTATTTAGGAACACAGAGAAAGGGCCTATCATGCTTTCCCCTTTGTCAACTATTAGCCAGCGAAGGTAATTCTTTCAGGCAACTGTGAGGGAGAGAAAAGAAGCATGGTTACTCCATCACCGCTACTGAAAGACTCAATAGTATTTGGCTCTCCTTCTTGAACAGTTTCTATGCCAGCTGGTCATTATAATACATTTGCATTTGAGAACTGGTGCCTGCATTTCCTTCTCCTTCCATTTTCCAACCACTCCTCCCCCCCTGCTTTGTGTCTTCCTATCATATGTTTAGTAAGACATTCTGGGAGCCTTCTTCAGATACAAAGCAGGAAAAAAGGCTTTAACAAAAAAAAATCAAACAAATGAGCAAGAGTGAAATTCCTAGCCCGAAGCTGATTAACACTTCTGAACAACATTTCTTATGGGAAAAGACTGCAAAATGTCATTTCATAGAATCATAGAATCATGCAGTGGCCTATAAGGCCATAGAGTCCAACTCCCTGCTCAGTGCAGGAATACAAATCAAAGGATTCATCACCTCTTCACCATTGCTGTAGTGCTCTAACAGTTTGGAAGTTTTTCCTGATATTCAACTGAAATATGGTTTCCTGTAACTTGAGCTCATTGTTCCATGCCCTGCATTATGGGAAGATTGAGAACAGATCCTGCCCCTCCTCTGTATAAGAGCCTTTCAAGTATTTGAAAAGTGCTATCATACCTCAGCCTTCTTTTTTCAAGGCTAAACATGCCCAGTTCTTTCAGGCTTCCTTCCTAGGGCTTGGTTTCCAGCCTCCTAATCATCCTCGTTGCCCACCTTTAAACTTGTTCCAATTTATTGGCATCTTTCTTGAAGCGCTCAAGATTAGGCCTAACCAGTACCAAATACAGTGGTGCCTCGCAAGACGATTGCCTCGCGAGACGAAAAACCCGCAAGACAATGGGCTTTTGCGATCGCTGTGGTGCCTTGCAGGACGGTTTCTTCTATGGACAATTTTCGCAAGATGAATGGTTTTGACATTTGGGTCTATGACTCGCAAGACGATTGTTTTTAGGGATGCTTTTCGCAAGACGACTTTTTTGACATTTGGCTTGATGGGTTTTTGTTGTAGTTGTTGTTTTGGTTCAAATCTCAACCATTAATACCCAGGATGCATTGTGTATTGTGCCGGGAAGGTTTAAAAAGCCTCCCCAATGCAGCCTGGGTTTACTTTTCCACGTGTAGTTCCAAGGTTGACTTCAAGAGGAGCAACTGTGGTCTGTGTTGTGGGGCATCCTGTGTTTGGTGTGGTCTGTGTTGTGGAGGTATCCTGTTTTTGGAGAAGTTGGTGTGGTCTTTGGTGAAATTAAAGGTTTTCAGAACTTTTGGGCCAGCAAAAGGTAGGTGTGCATTTGTTCTCCTTTGTTGTTGGTGGTGGGGTTTACGCCAAGTTTTTTAAAATTATTTTTGGTAAGTTGCAGAGGAAAGGTGGTGGGCTTAGCTTGTGCTGGGGGGGTGTTATGCCAAGTTTTATTTTTTTAAAAAAAAATTAGTAAGTTGCAGAGGAAAGGGAATGGGCTTAGCTTGTGCTGGGGGGTGATATGCCACTTGTTTGTCCAGAGCAATTTTGGCCAGTGGCGGGAAGGTGTGTGGGAAGGAGAAGCGGATGTAAAGCACTGCCTTTTGTTTTGGTGAACGTAGCAGCTGCTGACATGGGTCCCAAGAAGCCTGCTTCTGCAGAGGCCGGGAAGATGATGAAGGAGAAGATTACACTTGAGATGAAGAAGGAGATTATCAGGAAGCATGACGGAGGCATGCGAATCGTAGACTCGCAAGGGAGTACGGAAAGGAATCCATCCACCATCAGGACCACTATATGGCTGCGGGGGGCGGGGTGTTATGCCAAGTTTTTTTTTCCTTAGCTTGTGCTACGGAGATGTTATGTCACTTGCTTGTCCAGGGCAGTTTTGGCCATGGGTGGGAAGGTGTGTGGGAAGGTGAAGCGGATGTAAAGCACTGCCTTTTGCTTTTGTGAACATAGCAGCTGCTGACATGAAGCCTGCTTCTGCAGAGGCCGGGAAGATGATGAAGCAGAAGATTACACTTGAGATGAAGAAGATCATCAGGAAGCACGATGGAGACATGCGAATTGTAGACATCACCAGGGAGTACGGGAGGAATCCATTCACCATCGGGACCATTGGGAAGATGAGGGAGAAGATCCTTGCTACAGATGTAGCCAAGGGAGTCACCAGGATCATGAAGGACCAGCCCTTGCTGGTGTACCACTCAGAGAATCCATGGGCTTTCAAGAAGCACAAGGTGAACAAAGGCCAGCTGCGCATGCTGTGGTGATCCAATGCTAAGGCTTGGGTCACACACGTCCTGTTTGTGAACTGGGTCAATCTTGCTTTTGGCCCTGCTGTCAAGTGGTACCTGCTGGACAATGACCTGCCACTGAAGGCCCTGCTCCTCATGGACAATGCTCCAGCTCATCCTCCAAGCCTTGAGGAAGATTTGTTGGAGGAGTTCAATTTCATTAAAATCATGTTTCTTCCACCTAACACCACCGTGGTACTCCAGCCAATGGATCAGTAGGTGATTGCAAATTTCAAGAGAAGGTACACCAAGGAGCTTTTCAGGCACTGCTTTGAGGTGACCGATTCCACCATCCTCACCCTGAGTGATTTCTGGGGGGAACATTTTGATATTGTAACCTTCTGAAGTTAATCACCATAGCCTGGGATGGGATCAGCCGGAGAAATCTTAATTCTGCTTGGCGCAACCTGTGGCCAGACTGTGTGGCAACAAGTGACTCTGGTGTTTCTGCGCCTCCACCAGAGTCAACAGTGATGGAGGACATTGTGGCCTTAGGGAGGAACATGGGCCTTGAGGTCACAGAGGAGGAGGACATCTGTGAACTAACTGGTGGAGGGCCATGACCAGGAGCTGTCCACCCAGGAGCTGGTTGAGCTGCAGGCAGAGGCTACGGAGGAGCAGGAAGAAGAGCCAGGGGAGGAACAGCTGCCCACCAGGGAACTGAAGGAGCTCTTAGATCAGTGGCAAAACGTGCAGACTGTAGCACAGCGATTCCACCCGGACAAGGATGTGGCACGTAACCTTGCTAACATGTTTGACGCAAGGGCCATATCCCCTTTCAGAGGGATGCTGAAAAGGCAGCAGAAGCAGCTGACTATAGAGAGGTTCCTCACGAAGAGGCCGAGACAGGAAGAGGAACCTGCTGCTTCTACCAACGGTTGCCTTCTTCCTCCTCCTCGTCCTCCTAGAAGACTGCTGCTGTGATGTGGCGACAGTTCTGTCTGCCTCCAGTTTCCTGAATTAAAACACTGGTCCTGGTGGTTTAGAGACTCACTTGTTCACTTTAAAATGTGAAATGTAAAAAGTTTCTGTAATGTTGGTTTCTGTATGTTTATGCACTTTCTGAAGAGTTTTGCACAATCCAATGACTGTTAGCGACTGTTTCTGTTCAGTTTCAATGAAAGCAGATGTGCCTGCCTCATGTTTGTTGATTTTTAAATGTTTTTCTATGATATTAATAAAATTAAAGTTTATTGATTGCAATTTTTGAAATCACCTGCACAGTATTTATGACTTTAAAGAGCACTTAATAAACCCTTTGTAAACCAAATTTGACTTTGTTCTGACTTTTTTTGCCCATAGGAACGCATTAATTAGATTTCAATGCATTCCTATGGGAAAATGCATTTTGCAAGACGATTTTTTTTCGCAAGATGATGATTCTCGTGGAACGAAATTAAAATCGTCTTGCGAGCACCACTGTATAGTGGAACTAGTACCTCTCAGGATTTGGAAACTATACTTCTGTTACTGCGGCCTAAAATAGCTTTTTTTTTAAAGCCATATCACACTGTTGCCTCATTTTCAGCTTGTGATTTATGATGATTCCAAGATCCTTCTCACTTGTAGTATTGCTGAGCCAGGTATCCGTCATCTTTTTAACTGTGTGTTTGGTTTCTTTTTCCTAGGTGCAGTACTTTGTATTTATATCTGCTGAATTTCATTCTGTTTTCAGCTCACGCTCAAGCCTATCCAGATCATTCTGAATTTTGTTTCTGTCTTCCAGGGTACTAGCTATTCCACCCAATTTTGTGTCATTCGCAAATGTGATTAACATCTCATGTATCCCTTGATCCAGGTAATTAATAACAATGAACTGACTCCTAATGACACCCAACTCTATCTTTCGAGCTCAACAAATTTAAACAAAGAACTTAAGGAAAACCATTGTGACCCAAAACAACACCAAGAATTGTCAAAAACTTACAACTAAGCAACAGACAGCATCTTAGCAGAAACAATGACAAAGGAGAAACCTTGCAGCCTGGCCTGGTGTACCAATAATTTCTAGCATAATTAGGCTGTGACAGGGAGTTTGCTATAGCAAGATGCTACAGTTAAGACTGTTAAGTCCAGGACTGAATCGCATAAGCCTTTATGAAGACATTTGTTTAGTCAAGAGTAGGGCAAAACTGGATCTAGAGATATGGGCAGGCATATAATGTGACTGCACAGCCATCACCACTCCAGACTGTTTTATGCTGAAAACAAAAGGTAGCACAAGGCTCCGAGAAACTCCCATCATCAGAAATGGGACCTTACCAGGGTTGCAGATGACAGGAGCTCTATAAACATGTTCAACCAAACTATAGATTTACATGCATCTGAAGTGGTGCTGGCTGACATCTGGGGATGGAGCTTTTGTGTAATTCCCCACAAGTAGTTCTGCCCTGCACATGGGGAAGTGAATGCCGCACAGGGTGAGAATTAACAGAAATTACAGAAAAGGATACACAGATGCTGAAAATCCAAACATATACCTTCTATCATGCCTAGTCCACCTTCCTTTAATCAGTGCAGTGACAAGCTCCATACACTAACCTTGGTGTTTGCCATTCATCCATCCTAGTAAGTAGTTGCTTGTTTGCTGTAGCAGAACATTATTGTCTCCTTCGTAAGTACAGTTTGGGTCATTGTCATTACGGATATCACCCAGGCGATTCACTTAAAAAAAACACATACACATGTGGCAAAGTGGTTTCATGCCAACAAGCTGTCCTTATGACTAAAGGATTTTATAAAATGTCTTAGGAAAATCTGTGAGAAGTAACCCTTTGACAGTAGACACTATACAATATACTATTTGCAAACAGTGGCCCTTAATTTTGTGCTTGCATGTTATATAATCAATGCATCTCATATTACTAAACTGCTGCAGTAAGAATGTAAGAAACACAGAATCATAGACCTGTGAAGCTGCAATATCTCCAAGGATCACTGAGTCAGACATCAGTCCAGGCCAATACCAGGAATTTTCCTAGAGCAATTTATTAAAGGGTTGGTCTTTGAGCATGCAGAAAAGAATGGTGTGATTATTAAGAGCTAGCATGGGTACATTAGATGGATTTGTAGCTGACTGTTGGATTATATCCTGTGAGTGGTCACCAATGATTCTCATTGGCCTGAACAGGAATATAAAGTGGGTGCTACAGAGTTCTGTTCAATGTCATTGAACATTTTTATAAATGACTTGGATGGAAGAGCAGAAGGGATGCTCATTACATCTATAAATACCAAACTGATAGGTGTAGGAAAAATTTTTCTGATGGTAAAAGCTGTTCAACAGTGGAATGTCCTTCCTCAGCTGGTAGTGGACCCTATTCGGTTGACTTTTTAAAACAGAGGTTGGACTTTGGAATACTGTACCGGCAAGGAGTTGGTCTAGATGGCCACTGTGGTCCTCACCTCTACAGTTCTATGATATAGCTGGGATGGGCAATCTCTGCAATTTTTCTATTAAGACTGGTACTAATTGCATCTCACTGGGGATAAAGTTGCATAAACAGAGTGCTGTAACTGAGGAGACATTTTCATCAGACACATCCTAGATAATTTCTGCTTGTTAAGGTCACTCCCAAGCAAATTTTCTAATTATAATCTTAGCAGCTGGACAAGTTTCTCAATGGAACTTAGGAAAGAAAGATGGGCCTAATCATTAGTTGGATGAAAGCAACTGTCTCAGATGGCAGAGAACTGGCATGACAACAGAACTGATTTTCACTGTCTCCGCTCTCTTACTTGCCCTGACTACCTGCATGACTCAGCTGTTCTTCAGTTGATATGTGAACAATGCCTTGTCTCCAAGGGGCCTCAGGGCCACGGCATTATGGGAAGAAAGGACTCAAAAAGTCAAAACCATCCTCCTCCTCACTTCCTGTGAGCAGCAACATTTCCTTTTCCTGCCACAGGAGGTGGTGGAGTAGGCGCTGGCAGAGTAGGAATAAACAAAAAAGTCAAAGGCAAATAGGAAAGTCACCAGAATCAAAACACTTTCAGTTTTGATAGAACTAGACAAAGAGTTAATTTAGGCACACAGATGACTAAGTAATAAACTTACTGGCTAGATAGCCATGTCCCCCACAAGCTTCTCGACATTCTTGAGTTCCTTGTTGTGCAAGCCAAGAGGCCAGCGGCTTTCCTGAAGTAGATAAGGCATGTATCTCACGGCCAAGTTCAGCCTTGTGGGAAAGGAGGGATCAATGAGTAAAGAACACAACATTCAATAATCAGCAACATGCATTTTTTAAAAAAAAAAATCTGTCAAACCAGTAATCCCACACTGAAGGGAGAGTTCAGTATAAAGGAGTTCAGTTGCTATGAGTCAGCTGTGATTTGATGGCACGTAACAACCACAACAGAAACCCCAGGCACACAGGAGCAAAGGAAATGAAATGTTTAGCACATTTGGAAGACATGCTTCCACAAGTGGCTGAAAAGTATCTTTTTTCATAGCAGACTCATGCAACTTGCACTCAATGTGCTTTATAGTCAGAGGAAGCTAATACCAGCTCAATTTGCAAATCTAATTACAAAGATACACATCACTGAAGAGATTCATGAGTTAATTGTAAGGATTACACATTCCTCCTAACATCCAGTTTGATTTGCAGTAGTTATATTTGCATAATTTAGTGTTTCACATTCTTAAAAAAGCTCTTCTGAAGTTGACTGTGAAACTAATATAAATGCAAAATTATATTTCTAGGTGCTGTAAATAATTTTTTTTAAATAGCTGTTTTTAATGCTTATAATCTAAACATCTTTATGAAGAAAGAGAAGGCATATGGAAAAAGGAAGAAAAAAGAGGGGGTATCAGAATGTGCTAGGGCAGACAGGTGTACTTCAAGAGGATGCTCTACTATAAACTGAAACGGAAACACTCAAGTCTTGGGGTGGAAAGGCACTCCTGGGACAGGTATCTGCACGCCAATGTGGTGTAGTGCTCAGAGTATTGGACTAGAACCTGGGAGACCTGGTCTGAAATCCCCACACGGCCATGAAATTCACTGGCTGGCCTTCATCCAGTCACATGCTCCCAGTCTCACTTACCCCACAGACTTGTTGGTGCAAAGAGATGAGGAGAGTCCAGAGCACTGCCTTGAGCTCACAGGAGAAAAGGCAGAATAGAGGTACAGCAAAGAAATAAATAAAACAGATGCAGACAGGAAAGACAAAACAAAGCTTAGGACAAGCAAACGCTTGGTGCTGACAGACAAGCATACAGAGAAAGAGGGTCAGATGGCTATAGAAGGCCATGGAGATATTTGAACATAACAAGAAGAAGCTTATATATGAAGGGGGAAAACGAAGGGAAGTCAGTTAAAAGTTTTCAAAAAAATGTGGGGGGCAGAGCACCTGGGAAGATAGCCAATGCTTTCCTCTTTTGAAATTAGGAGCATGACCATTCCATATTCTGGGCTATGAAGGAGTTTAGGGGAATCCCATAAGTAAGAGCAGAATATGGGCACTTTTACATACAGCTACTCTTGGATCTTGCCAGTCCAAGGAGGAGGCCCACTCAAGCATCGTGCAATGGCTTATTACAGTGAGTTAGTGACGGGCTTCTCACCTGCTGTGGACTTTTGTCCTTCATGAGGACACCGATGTAGAACTCCATAGAGTTAATGAACAATGTCCTGGAGAAATGGTCTAATACATATGTGGCTGCTAAATAAGGAAGCAAGCGCCATTGCTGGAATTAAAAGAAAATGTGTATCAGCAAGAATTGATCCAGCTCAACTATATGTTCATTTTCTTAGAAACATGAAAAGAGATGTTTCCTCATTCTTCAAAAAAGGGTAATTTTCAGAACCCTTCTTCCATGACGGCTCAAATTCTATATACAGTGGTGCCTCGTAAGACGAAAATAATTAGTTCCGTGAGTCCTGTCGTCTTGTGAAATTTTCGTTGTGTGAGGCGTGTTTTCCCATAAAAATGCACTGAAATTTAATTAATGCATTCCTATGGGAAAATGTACCTCGCAAGACTAAAATATCGTCTTGCGGGGCACCTAAAAATTTGCAAGACGCTTTCGTCTTGTGAGTTTTTTGTTGCCTGAGGCATTCGTCTTGCAAGGTACCACTGTAGTTGTTTTTCATTCTGGCCTCATCATTCCAAAACATGTATATTACCTTGCATATTTTAACCAACGTTAGCATAAGTCACTGGTAACAAGTTACACAACAAAGGAGAAAGCAGGACAATAGTCTCCTGCTCATATCTATTTTAAACTTTTTAAAAGTGCTAAAACAAACAAACAAACAAAAACAACAATGCAGACATTCGCAATACAATTTCTGAGGGGGGAAAAGTCATCCCTCACTCTGATACTGGGAACTGTGTTCAGCTAAAACTCTTCCGCTCCTGCAATCCTGCCAGTTGTTGCTCTCACTTGTGCCATCCAGTTTCAGTAAATTGTTATATTTGCTCCTGAATGGGTTCAAAGATATTTCAAGAAATATTTCTAAAGTTTAGTTTACTAAAACAGCAATTAATATAGATAAATTTAATGGCATTTGAAATTAAACCACCATGAAAAGGAGTATTAAAAATGGAACAGCAACACAGGTCTGTAGTTCCAAATTAGATGCTACATTACATGTTTGACAAGTTATAATTTATTACTTTATAGCTTAACAGAGATCCACATTTTCACCTGCATTTGGTATTCCAGAACTGGTATTTCTTCATCATCTATTGGTCCAAATTGACGCCGGGTAGCTGAGAAACGAACAGCTATTGATATGGCAAGCTTCAAATTTACTACAGACATGGAAATAATCATAACTCTTCCATTGGACAAAGCACCAAGGGATGCTCCTAACCGCTGCTTGCGATCCTGGAGAAGTGAGACAGTAGAAATAAAACAGCTTTCATTTAACGCCTTTTAACAATATTTTATATGAAGAAGTTCTTGCTTGTACACCCAACTGTTTCATTCAGAGGATTTTGTTTCAGGTTTTTAATCTTCCTATACCACAATAACTGCTACTGAAAATTATCTGAAGGGAATGTGTGGAAGTGCTAAAAGGATTAATGACTCAAAGGAATCACGATTAAGCTTGTGTACAACACACACTACGCATGCAGCCAATACCTTGAATGTACTTGTGTAGGTCCCCGCAGCTGTGACATCTCCAGTTTGGTTCAGCAAGTTCTCCTTGGGGATCCTGACATGGTGAAACATGGCAAACCTGGCAAGTCAAAAGAATTGAACTCAAACATCTGCCATCTGCTGTACTGTTTAAAGCAAAGACTGCATCCATACACACAGTCATTCACTTCTCAGAGCCAGAAGAGCTATAATATTAAAGACATGAAGGTATGCCTGTTTTTCCTTTCCAAATAGTGACAGCAGTGCTCCACAATTACAACACATCATAATCAAAACACAGTTTTGATGAAAATCCCCCTCCCAGCTGCTCTTAACTCTCAGCGGGACGGGTACCAAAAGAAGTTTCCCTAGCAATGCTAACAGGAGTTTTAGAAATGGAACTACAGCACGGACAGAAAGGATTAGACATTTTGGTGTCAACAAAGGACTCAGGTGTTCCAAAAGCATTTAATCTTATTTGATTGTTATGTCTCCTCAGTAAAACTGTATTGAGCCACTTTTGCTATTGGGCAAAACCTTGCAGCTAAGCTCTTATTATGTAGTTCAGATCTAAATCCTGAAGTGCTTTTTGAAAAAAAAAATGAATATACATAATTTTGCCAGCTAAACTACTAAGCTATCCAGCAGTTCTACTATTGCAACAATTGATAAATGAAGATGTTATGGAGAGAATACATTGAATATCTACTTTATCTTCCTATTACATAATCTTCACCTTACATGGAAACACACACTGTTTGTACTGAAAGTATGTGCCTGCATATGCTGGGTAACAAATTCTCCCATGTTCCATTATCTTTTACGGGTTTTAGAAATTTTTAGAAGATCGATATTGACAGAACTAGAGATAAGGGTATTCATATTCGTGCACAAATACCCCCATGTCTAGATAGAACATTTACAGAAACTTTGTTCCTTATTAATGATGGGATTTATGATATCTTTGTATATTCTAAAATGATTCATGAGTTGTTGGAGGTCTTCAGCAAAGTGGGCAACAATGGCTGCATCATCGGCAAAGAGGAAGTCCTGCATGCATTTCAGTTGGACTTTAGTCCTCGCTTTCAATCTAGAGAGATTAAAGAGCTTTCTGTCTGATCTAGTCCAGAGATAGACACCTTCTGTTGCAGTTCCAAAGGCGTGCTTCAGCATGAAAGCAAAAAAGATCCCAAACAGAGTCAGCATGAGGACACAGCCCTGTTTCACTCCGCTTCGGATGTCAAAGGGATCTGATGTTGAGCCATCAAAAACTACAGTGCCCTTCATTTCCTCATGAAAGGACCTGATGATGTTAAGGAGTCGAGGTGGACATCCAATCTTGGAAAGTATTTTTAAAGGCCATCCCTGCTAACCAAATTAAAGGCCTTTGTGAGATCTATGAAGGCCACAAAGAGTGGCTGTTGTTGTTCCCTGCATTTCTCCTGCAACTGTCTGAGGGAGAATACCATGTCAGTGGTGGATCTATTACCTCAAAATCCACACTGTGATTCTGGATAGACTCTTTCTGCAATCACCTGGAGCATCTTCAGCACGACATGGGCAAGCAGCTTCCCTACAACACTGAGAAGAGAGATGCCATGGTAGTTATTGCAGTCGCCCCTGTCTCCTTTGTTCTTGTACAATGTGACAATGTTTGCATCCTTCATGTCCTTTGGTACTCCGCCTTCCCTCCAGCAAAGACAAAAGACTTCATACAGTTCAGTGGTGATGATCTCTTTACAGCACTTCATTAGGGATGCTATCCTTTCCAGGTGCCTTGCTGGAGGCAAGGGAATGCAAAGCCGCTTTTATTTTTGCTAAGGTTGGTTCGCTGTCCAACTCTTCCAAGACAGGCAGGCACTCAATATTATTTAATGCTTCTTTGGTTACTACATTCTCTCTGGAATATAGCTCAGAGTAGTGCTGCACCCAGCGGTCCATCTGCTGTGCTTGGTCCTGGATGATCACGCCCCGTAGCAGATTTCAAGGGAGCATATTTCTTCTGTATTGGACCTAAAGCCTGCTTGATATCGTCATACATTCCTTTGATGTTACCTGTGTCCGCTGCTATCTGTATTTGAAAGCAGAGCTAAAGCCAATAATCGTTGGAACATCTCCTGGCAGCCTGTTGGACTTGGCTATGAGCAGCTCGAAGAGCTTGCAAGTTGTACTCACTAGGACAGGCTTTTTATGCTTCTAGAGCTCTCCTCTTGTCCTCGATGGTTGGCATCAACTCCTCTGAATGGGCTTCAAACCAGTCAGCCGTCTTTTTGGTCTTCTTGCCAAATGTGGACAAGGCAGTATTATACACAGCGTTCTTGAAATGTTCCCATCGTTCAGGTGCACTTGCATCAGCTGGGCCTGGAAGGGTTTCCTCAAGTGCTTAGGCAAATTCCTCCACTTTTCTTTGATCGTGAGTCTTGCTGATGTCAATACGTGGTCTTCCTTCCTTTTTCATGTGATACAATCTCTTTGTTCGCAGTTTTACTCTACTACACACCAGGGAGTGATCAATATCGCAATCAGCACTCTGATAACTGTGTGTGATTATAATACGAGGAAGGCTAGAACGTCTAGTGACGCCAATGTTTGGATCTTGGATGTCTCCAAGAAACTCTGTGTTGAAGCTTCATATTAAAAAACATGTTGCTGACACTAAGACTATAATAACAGCAAATCTCCAGCATGCATTGGCCATTTTTGATCATCTTTCCAATGCCAAAAGAGCCTAGACAAGTGGGCCAAGAATTGTGATCAGCACCAACTCTAGCATTAAAGTCTCCAAGAATGAACAGTGGCTGTCTTTCAAGGACTTTTTTGATAGTAGCTGCCAGATCGTCATAGAATTTCTCTTTCACTTCTGTAGTGGATGACAGTGTTGATGCATATGCAGTAATGAGGGTGACCAGTCCCACTGATGAGTGGAGCTGCAGAGACAGGATTCTTTCACTTCCCACAGTAGGTGGAACAATGGATCTCAGAAGAGTATTTCTGACTGCAAAGCCAACACCATATTCCCTGGACTCACCTCCCTCTATTACCATCACCACACAAGAATTGGAGGTTGCTCATGACGTTGTGTACCTTGGCCCAATGATTTCTGACACTCTCTCCCTAGATGACGAGCTGGATAAACACATTGGCAAAGCAACTACCATGTTCTCTAGACTGACTAAGAGAGTATGGCTCAATAAGAAGCTGAGGACATATACCAAGATCCAGGTCTATAGAGCCTGTGTTCTGAGCACACTCCTGTACTGCTCTGAGTCCTGGACCCTTCATGCACGACAGGAGAGGAAGCTGAACACCTTCCATATGTGTTGCCTCCAACGCATTTTTGTTATCACCTGACAGGACAAAGTTACAAATAGAGTAGTCCTAGAACGAGCTGGAATTTTTAGCATGTATACATTACTGAAACAGCGAGGTCTACGTTGGCTTGGGCATGTCATGAGAATGGCTGATGGTTGGATTCCAAAAGATCTCCTGTATGGAGAATTAGTGCAGGGAAATCACCCCAGAGGAAGACCACAGCTGTGATACAAGGACATCTGCAAGCAGGATCTGAAGGCCTTAGGAATGGACCTCAACAGATGGGAAACTCTGACATCTGAGCATTCAGCCTGGAGGCAGGCGTTGCATCACAGCCTCTCCCAATTTGAAGAGACCCTTGTCCAGCAGGCCGAGGCAAAGAGGCAGTCCCAAAACCAGCAAAACCAGGGAGCTGGACAAGGGACAGATTGTATTTGTTTTCAGTGCGGAAGGGATTGTCACTCTTGAATTGGCCTTCTCAGTCACACTAGATGCTTTTCCAAGTCCTCCATACAGAGCACGTTACCATAGTCTTTCGAGAGTGAAGGATGCCTAACTAACTGTATATTAAGGAATTCTTTACCCAGAAAGCGCTACCATTTTGAATATTATGTAACAAGTGAAAAATATTATTCAGACTATATATCAACATCAGTTTTAGATTTCTCTGCACTGCTTGTCATTTTCAAGATTTAATGCATTCATTTCAATGGAGTGTACCTGCTGTAAAACATGATTTCATTCAGGTTTATTCATGTTATGCAGAACTTACTATTATTGAGAGGCAGTGTGGTTTTGTGTATAGAGTGCCAGAGTAGGATTCAGAAGACCTGGGTTCAAATCCATGCTCAGCCATGGAAACTTACTGGGGAATGTGGCAATTGACAGGTTTTGGGCAACCCAAGGAAATTGTTGAATGCAATTCTATAAGTATTTAACAGGATCGGAGCAGCAGACACATGTATAATCAGAGCTAATACAGCTGGGCTGATTAGAACAGCTGAGAGAAGAATCTCTGGATTGGTAGATCCAGGAATAAAGCTGGCAGAGCCAGCACACACAATCTGTTGGTTGGTGGTGTGGGATGAAACGAACTCTAGCCAGATTTATATGGACCTTGACTGTGATTTGTGAACTGAATCCTGTAGAACTGCAGTGTATGACCAAGGACTGGAAACTAAGGCGCTCTCTGTGTGTGTGTGTGTGTGTGTGTGTGTGTGTGTGTGTGTGTGTGTGTGTGTGTGTGTGTGTGTGTGTGTGTGTGTGTGTGTGTATGTGTGTGTGTGTGTGTGAGAGAGAGATGTGATTTCATAGCACAAAACTTAGAACTAATCCTCTCATCACTTTCTGACTGATATTTTCCTTTATAGTGACACTTCCCCCCTCTACCCACAGGTTTGCATCTTTCTACGTCTTGAACTCTGCCATAATTCTTCTCCTCATATACAGACTGCCACTAACTGTATGAGCCACTCTCTCTCAGTGTACAATGAGGTAGCTGCTTCTCACCACAGTTGTCTTTGACTGTAGCATTTACTCTTCTAGACTGCAGGCTAGAAAAGCTGAAAAGACAGAGAGCTTATATTAACCTTTACCATTAAGGTAAGTAGCTTAATTTGCCAGTTCCCTGCTTGTTGGTTCTAAGTGAATTTGTAAAAGCTTTAAATGTCCTATTAACTTTTAACCCTAGGATTGTATTTATCCTACGATTTGCTCTTAGTCTTTCCATATGCAGAAGAATGAAACAGAGTTATTGACCTAATTGTGTTATTTTGAACATCTGTGCCCATTATTCTCCTTTTCTTCACAGTCCCATGCTATGCTTTTTTAACTTACTAATATGATGCAATAACTTCCTCTTATCCATACAGAAACAAAATATTTTAAAACAGAATATCCTCATTCATTTTTGTTGTATTTGCAAAACGAAAATAAAAGAAGTACTACTTTGAAGCTATCTCTAAGAGGGATGCAGTAGAAAAACAACAATCACACAGCTTTCTAAACAGTTCTCCCTACAGTGACTATGTACCAGGGAGGACAGCTGATTTCATAGTAATGGGGCCTTCAGGTGAGAAGAGAGACACACAATGTATATACATGGGTTTTATAATAATTCCTTGATAAAAGGGAGTGTGGTATCCTAAAAGTTTTTCTGCTCTTTCATGTAGTAGCAAATCATTTTCTAGCACTGCTGTTGAATCACTTTAGACTGGACTAGATTTGCCCCAAATGATCTTCTATTTTAATGTATGCAAACGAAGGATTTTTATTCTAGCAGCTGACAGAAGTGACCTATAACATCTAAACATTACTTTATGGGCTCCAGATCAGATGAGGCATTTTGGTGTACTCACCCATTATCCAAACCATTCTGTCCAAGTTTCCTGCCTATATCACCAACCAGCACTCCTGGCATTGGAAGAAGTGTTTTTTTATCTCGAATCTGTAATAAAAATTTTGAGGATTGCTTTAAAGAAATGTGGAATATGGCTATCAATGACAAATTAACATGTGAGTTCAAAGTTAGGAATATTGGAAGCAAATTATTTTGAAGATACAGTGGTGCCTCGACTTACGAAATTAATCCGTATTGGAACAGTGGCCGTAACGCAAAACTTTCATTAAGTCAAAGCACCATTTCCCATAAGAATGCATTGAAAACCATTTAATCTGTTCTGGCTGTTTTTCGTTCTTATGTAGAGGCACCATTCTAAGTAAGTTGAAGCATTAGTTCCCATAAGAACTAATGCAAAGCCAGTTAACCCATACTCGACCACTAGGGGCAGAATTTTTCTTCTTTTGACCTAAGATGAACTTAGGTCAAAAAAAGGGCAGGAAAGGAGGGAGGGGGAGAGGGAACACCTTCTAAACTAGGGGTCTCAAACACACGGCTCCCCGGCCAACTGTGGCCCGCCGGATGATAGTTTGTGTCCCCCACCTTGATATGCAAGTTTAAGGAGCGGTAGCAGCAGCAAACAAAACAAAACAAAACAAAAAAAACGGCGTATGTGGGGGAGGGGAGGAGGAGTGCTGCTGCTTTGGCTCTGGCAACTCCCATTGTGGCCGCTGCGGCGGCGGCACCCACGCCGGGCCCCTCGGCTGCCCAGGTGAACGTTACAGTGGCAGGGCTGCCGTCAGCGAGGAAAGAGGCGAGCCCTGCCCGGAGGTGGCCAGGAGGTCATGGCAGAGAGGCCAAGAGGCCCGCCCTCCCCTTCATGAGTGACAGGAGGGAAAGGGGCAACTTGGGGAGTTGGCGGGAGCCCTGCGCGCAGAGCCATACAAACACCCCCACAACACGACTTGTCCTGGCACCGGCCCCTGCCCTGCCACTGGCCAAGCGCCATAGCTCAAGCTGTTCCTTCCCCCTCACCCCAAGACACAGCTGCCGCCAGCGAGAGGCTCCAGCTTCCACTCCCCCATCTTGCAAGGCACCTCTCAGTCCCTCCATGACTGTGTCTGACTTTTGTATCTCCACCCCCACCCCCTGCAGCCGAACAAGCCACCTCTCCCTGTTACTTCCTTGGCTGCGGCAGGGCACTTCATTATTTCAGAGATCAGAGATAAGCCAGCTCGATTGTTTAGGGCTTTAGAACAGCCCTGGGCAATCAATCTGGCTTGTGAATGATTGCTTCCGCTGGACCGAATAAGGCAGGACGGAAGGTGCAAGAGAGGAACCTGGCGGAAACGGAAATGAGTGGTCTGGAGTTAGTGCACTTGCTTGCTTGCCTCCGCTGGAGGGGAGGCTGGTCCCGGGTTCTGGGGGGCAGCGGTTCAGAGCCAGGGAAATGGGGCCGGGCCAGTCCCTCTTTCCTCCTAAAGCCGGGGAAGAGGAGGCACTTTTATTCCCCCCTTCTGCCCCGACCCCACAAAAACTGACTCTTACTATGACATGCTGTTATCAGGGATACACAACTCAATTACAGTGGTGCCTCGCATAACGAGCGCACCGTTTAACGACGAATCCGCATAGCGATGCGTTTTTGTGATCGCTAATGCGATCACACTGCGATGTTTTGAATGGGCAAAAATCGCATTGCGATGATCGGTAAGCCGCCGGATCAGCAAAATGGCCACCCGCAGCGTTTTCGCGCCCTGCCCTTGCTTACCGGGCAGCGAAAATGGCGGCCAGATGGGGGAATCTTCACTTACCGGTGAGGTTTTCCCCCACAGGAATGCATTAAACAAAGTTTAATGCGTTCCTATGGGGATTCCCCCTCCACATAGCGACGCATCCGGATAGCGACGTTAATCCTGGAACGGATTAACGTCGCTATGTGGGGCACCACTGTATATGGCATTTAACTACAATATTATGATATGCAATCACGTTAGAAATTTAATTTTAAAGGCATCTGCTTATCCTTGAATTCTAGCAAGTCAATAACACTGATCCATGCTCACCTGTACAATAAAAGAATGTAATCCATGGCACTGCCCATCTGGAGTGTACAACTGTGCATAGACAACTGCGTGTGTTGCCATTTTCCCCATGTTGCCAACCCAAAACTTGGCAGCTTCAAAATCAGGTGAGTGAATAACAAATTCCTACAACATTTTTAAGAGAAACACATAAGTCTTGTAAAACACTACACATGCACTTTCAACATTCATGTTGATCATTTCTATGTTATACTGTCAACAAAACAGAATGAAAGAAAACAAATATATTCATAGAAGAATCTTCACAAATAATTCGCACATATTTTGAGAACCATTAAAGCCTGCCTGACTGTTAAGAACCAAAGGAACTGAACATTTCTGCAGGTGGGTGATACAAAAAAGATCAGAGTGTCTGGGACTCAAACTGCTATTTTAATAAAATGTGAACAAAATTATTAAACACCACATCTAGTTGAACATATACCTGTGTAGTTGGATCATATGTAGCAGTTGTCCGCATATTCTTGGTATTGCTGCCATGGCTTACTTCAGTCAGAGCAAAACATCCAAAGTTCTATGGGCAAAACACACAAAATGAAGTTTAGGATGAAGAAATCAAATTGCAGTGAGAAGTTTCTATTTTAAAACAGCTGTATAGTAGTGCGGCTCCAAATTATAACCTTCTAGCTGCTAATTTCTGAGCTCTGAATTCTAATGATACAAGACTTAAGAGTCCACTGATCATTCTGTAACTGGACAGAGGTAACTCACTGTCTATAGCTCCACTCTGTAGAAGTGGGTCCTGGAGAAGCATTTCTACACTGGCACCACAAACAAAGGCTGAGCATAGCTATGGCCGAAGTGACACCACTGAGCCCCGCAGATATATTGTGCAGCAGAGGCAGGTGATCTCGATGGGGCTGAGGGCCATCTCTCAGGTTTTCAGCAGCTTACACACCAGGCACACAAGAAGGTGAGGTGCATGGAACTACAGTGGTGCCCCGCATAGCGATGTTAATCCGTTCCGGATTAATCATCGCTATGCAGAAACATCGCTAAACGGAATGGAAAAAGTCATAGGAACGCATTAAACTTTGTTTAATGCATTCCTACGGCTCCCAAACTCACCGTTCAGCGAAGTTCCTCTATAGCGCTGCCATTTTCGTGCCCTCAGGAAGCGAGGGCAGGGCGCGAAAACACTTGTGGTGGCCATTTTGGGCACCCGGCAGTCATTTTGGAACCGCCGATCAGCTGTTTAAAAAAACATCGCAATGCGAAGATCAGAACATTGCAATGTGATCACATTAGTGATCTAATTCAGAACATCGCAATGTGATCACATTAGCGATCTAAAAAAATAGATCGCTATGCAGATTCATCGTTAAACGGTGCGCTCGTTAAGTGAGGCACCACTGTAATTTGCATTCTTATCATTACTGTTACTATAATTACTATAATGCAGTGATCATGTACTCTAACAGTTACCACAATGGAGTTTTGTTAAGTGAAAAATGGGTTTAACATACAAAACAAATTAAATTGAAGGCCCCCCCGTCATGCCCTTTGGTTGTTACTTGCCAATATGTCAAGCAGCATCTGACTTCTGTTAACGCTATGAATCAATGGCTTCCAAAAGATCCTACCATTGATGACTCTGCTTATAAACTCAAGGCCACAGCTTTCTTTACTGAAGCAATCTATTTCATATCCTTTTTCCCTGGTGCTTTCAACTTCTCCCAATATTACTGTGTTTTCCTGTGAGCTAGGTCTTATCAAGGTATGCTCAAAGTATGACAGCATCTGTTTATGCATTTTTGCTAGAGTTCACACTTGATTTACCACACACTTTTTTCTGGCAGTCCATTGTATATGTAAATCTCTCCACCAACACATTTCAATTGAATTCTTTTTATTTCTTTTGTCAGCTTTCTTCACTGTCCAGCTTTCATATCTGCACACAGCGATTGAGAACACTGGGCTTAGTCTCTAGTGACATATCACTACCCTTAAGCATTTTTTTCTAGCTGCCCCTCCCAGTCTCAGTCTTCTTCTGATTTTCTAGCTGCACTCTCTGTTTGGACTGATGATTGAACCAAGATATAGAAAATCTTTAGTGTGACTGGGTTCATTAGAAATTTGAAGCAGCTCCTCCCTTTTGGCAGGAAATGACAGCTGAGCCTCTTTTAAAATATTAACAGATGTATTTGGTTTAACATTTGGTGGTTCCACAACGATTTCTGTAGGTTCATAAGAAGTGAGATCTGGCAACTGTCCAAAGTATGAAGACGAGGACTCCGTCTGTAAACTGGCAAGGTTCATTGAGGGGCTGGTCCCGAATTGTCCCAGTCGGTGGGTTTCCTCATTGGAGCACCCCAAGCCCTGCAAACTGTCCCGTAACAAGGGTGTCTGCCCAATCTCCCTCCAGTGGTGGTTGGCTGAAAGATTGGTCTGGTCAGATTACCTTCCTCAAGTGACCTGGTCCCCATGGAAAAACGACAACTGTCCATTCTAGTGCCGCTGTCACTATTCCCTTTCCCTTTGACAAGTCAGGATCAGATAGTAATCCTCCTACCTTCAAATTAGGGAAATCTTCTAATAACCCACATACTCTTTCATATCTCTGTTCACCTTTTTCTCTCTCTCTGCTTTTTCCCCTCTTTCCCCTGAATATACTGAACTCTCCCCCTCTTCCCTGATCTTTTATATCCTCCCCCCACATTGGTAGAGTTAACTCCTCCTCCTTTTCCCCTCTTCCTTCCTCCACTAAACAGACTTCTACAGTGGACCCTCGACTTACAGACGGCTCGACTTACAGACTTTTCGAGTTATAGACTTCTCTGGCTGCAAAATTTAGATTCGAATTGCAGCGGGAGAATCGACTTACAGACCAGAAAAAAACCAAAATGGAACAAAAATAGAATAAAAATCGCCGGTTATGGGATTAATCGGTTTTCAATGCATTGTAGGTCAATGGAGATTCGACCTACAGACTTTTCGACTTGCAGCCACCATTCCAATACGGATTAATTCCGTAAGTAGAAGGTCCACTGTATTTGAGGAGATGGCTCACTCTCATCTTTCTCTCTTTCTTATTTCACTTTCACATTTAGTAATTTTGATTTCTTCATAGCCAGCATTTAATTTATGTTATTCTTCTGTAGTTAACCACTGTAGTCTTCTTAAAGTTCTATTGCAGTCTTGCTTTGACACTCTCTTCTTTTATTTTCACCAGAGGTCATTTCAAGCACTGCTCTTTTCTGCTTGTATATCACCCTCTAGTGGCCAATATTTTTTTTAAAAAACCCATTTTACATTGGGGTCTCTAAGGATTCAGAATTGCTGAGAGCCTTCGAAAACATGGTGAAATTGCTCTGAAGGTTCCCTAGATGGCACAAGGCAATCCCCCCCTTTTTAAACAGATAAAAACAACTGAATTGTATGGGGACTTGATAGTGTGTCACTGTGATACCCACCCCTGTTGCAAAGCAATTAGGCCCCCTCCCATGCCTTTCTACATTCTCCTGGAAGTTGAAAAGAAAGATAAGAGCTGAGGTGACTTTTCAAAACAAATCTAAACTAACTGTTCACTATGGATTACTTGAATAAGAAACAAAGCCTTTGCCCTTCTTAATTAAGAGAAATAAGTAACTTAAGGTTAATAATGAAGGAAAAAAGGAGACAAATGTAGTAGTTATTCCTTAAGAACATAGACGTATATTGTCCAGAATCCTCTTTGCTGTTTTATGCTACTATCAATATAGGTAGCAAAGCATTAACCTAGTATCATAAAATGCCACTGCACTTACACTGGAGAAAATAACCCAAGAGGATTCTCCAAATGATTATGCACAGAACTCTTGAAAAACCCAGGATAATATTGCTCCAATCCCACTACTCAAAAGGTGACTCAATCCAGACTGCAGCTCCTGTATATGGATGCCTGAGTTATTTCACAATTTCTGAAAGGGAGTAGCCCACCCTTTTCACAGTGACCAGCATTTTATATGTTAAAAAATTCACTCTGGAAACACTTTAAGTGGAAAAAATGGTATCTTTACTTATAGTTCCTGTTTATAGTTAAAGTCAGTAGAAAAATAAGAAAAATGGAAGTCTCCACACATTGGAGCGTCCCCTCCATGCTTCCTACATGTTCGGAGGTCAGGAAAGGGGAAGGAGAGAGACAAACAAACAAAGAGAGGAGGGACAAGCCAGAGGCGGGAAAATGAACTTTATCAATAGGTGAATCCCTTTAGGTCCTAAAAGTCTCCCTGTCACTGATACCCAGTGTTAGAAAGCATGCAAGATTGTTATTATCTCAACAGTTAAGTGTTGACACACACTATGTTAAAGAAAAACTCCATCTCTGTGGAGATGTGAAGAACTGTAAACTTTTTTGAAGCACTGCCTTTTATCTCTCATATGACATCTATATGTTGATCCTCGCATCTGGAACAATCTACCTCCTGAGATTCGCGGGGCTCCCTCGCTGAGTATCTTTAAGAAACAATTAAAGACATGGATGTTGCGGCAGGCCTTCCCGTCAAATAATTCCTGACGCCTTTTCTTTCTTCTTTTCTTTTTACTTTTATTGTCTCTCTCACTCTGTGTATTGTTTTTTTTATTTAAATTGTTTATATACTTGCACTGTATTTTTATGACTGTTAGCCGCCTAGAGTGGTCCTGACCCGACCAGATAGGCGGGATATAAATGAAATAAATAAATAAATAAATATTGTTGTACAGTGGTGCCTCGCATAGCGACGATAATCCGTGCAGCAAAAATCGCTGCAAAGCGATTTTGTCGCTATGCGATTTTTAAAAGCCCATAGGAATGCATTGAAACCCCTTCAATGCGTTCCTATGGGCTTCAGACTCACCTTAAAGCAAAAATCCTCCATACGGCGGCCATTTTCGCTGCCCAGTATGCGAGGAATCCATCCCAAAACACAGCAGGTGGCCATTTTTTTTACCCGGTGGCCATTTTGGAACCGCCGATCAACTGTTCTAAAAACATCGCTATGCGATAATTGGTAACTGAAACAGGGTACCGATCATCGCAAAGCGATTTTTCCCTATAGGGAACATCGCAAAGCGATCACAAAAGCGATCGCAAATTCTTAATCGCTATGCAATTTCATTGTTAAACGGGGCGCCCGTTAAGCAAGGCACCACTGTATAATGTATTGTGTGCTGTTAAGCTGATTCCTACTTATGGCGACCCTTTCCAGTGTTTTCAAGGTAGAGAATACACATTCCTTTCTTCTAGAGGCATCCTCAGATTGTGCAGCTTATCCATGACTACACGGGCTGGCCCTTACTGCAAGAGGCAGTGGGGAATTGACCACCTAATCTCTGGCTCCATAGCCAGATACCTAAACCACTGAGCTTCTGTAATAGTCTATAATAATTTCTTAACAAATAAATATGAAAACTGAGTGCAAAAGAACATTAAATTAGAAATAATATATATTTTTCAATAACATAGAACAGACCCAGGAAGTAAGAAAAAACTACTTCTGCATTCAACAAGAACTTTAAGTTACAGCAACAGCATTAATTTAAATTAGAGCTAAATTAATTATTTTAAATAAAATTAATAAAACCTTTTTTTATAAGTACCTCCATATTTTCATTCTGTTTAATAAATTCAGCATGCTTGTCAGAGCCTGCACTCTCAATTGCACCTTTGAATACCTGCAATCAAGAGAAGGAACTGATATGAATAAGTGACAAGAAAAAATGGACAGAGAAACAGAAAGGAGAGAAAAAAAGATTCAAAAGGAATGCACAATAATAAAAACCTCCAGACTAGTTCCTTATTCTCTGGACTGTTTTCAATCAATACCTGATTTCTTCTGTCAGCAGTATGTCAAGAGGGCAAGTAAACAATATATATAAAGGCAAAAAGCTCCCTCCTCCATGCAGAATATGTACTACATAACATATAAATATGACTTGTATAACAAGAATCAAAAATAGAGCAACACAATAAAGTAATAAGTTACTTTTTAAAAGTAAAATTCATAGTTCTGGCCATACAGAATTCTACGTTATTTCTTTAGAATTACAGATGTGCACAAACCGTGGTTCTGCGGGCACTGCACACTTCCCTCCCCCACCTCCTCCACACCATCATCCACTCACTGGCAGCAGCAGGTTCCCTCCTCTGCACAATCATCCACTCACCAGCTGCACCATGGGCTTCCCTGCCCCCCCCCACTCATCTGAGTGGCCGGACACCAGAGGAAGTGGAGGAGGGAAGCATGTGCTGCTGTCAGTGAATGGGTGATCACATGGAGAAAGCGGTGGAGGAAAACATGGTTTGTGCTCTATTTAGAATATTTGCAGGTTATCTTTAATGGCAACCTCACCACCAGGTATATTACATTTTTTAAAAATTCAATAATAAAACAGAAATACCAACAAACACAAGCAGTACAAACATTCAGCCCAGGATGCAACTGCAGTGAAAAACTAAGGCAAGCCAATAAAAATCTAATCAGACAAAAAAGAAAAGAAAAAAAGAAGATAAAAAACAAAAGATCCTCAAAACTTCCCAATAAGCTTGCATTGACAAGTCTGAAAGTAGAAGACCATTGTGTTATGGCACAGTCATGGGGAAAGCCCTGTTTCTTATGCTCAAGCAAATATAGTGGTGCCTCGCTTAACGATTTTAATTGGTTCCAAAAAAAAAAACGCTATGGGAAAACATCGTTAAGGGAAATGCGTTTTCCCATAGAGATGCATTGAAAACCGGATAATCCGTTCCAATAGGAAGGGATTGCCGTCCTTAAGCGAAAATCGCCATAGGAAACATCTTTAAGCGAAACGCGGTTCCCCAATTGAAATGCATTGAAACCTATTCAATGCATTTCAATGGTGAAAAAAAATTCACAAAAAATTTAAAAAGACTCAGAACAAAGCCAAATTAATTTAACGAAGGTTTTATTAGGTGCACTAACGATTCCAAGCATTTTAAACACTTTTTACACATTTTAGAACATTTTAAAAATAGCAAAAAACGGGGCTGTCAAAAAAAAAACGTTAAGCGAAACGGGGGACCTAAAACCAAAAACGTTAAGCGAAAATCGCTCATAGGGAAAATCGTTAAACGGAGCGCAAGATCGCTCCGAAAATGCCATTGTTAAGCGAATTTTTTGTTAAACGAAGCAATCATTAAGCGAGGCACCACTGTAATATGGGTTTCCATTACTAATCTGAAACTGAAGCAGGCTGATATGGATAAAGTCATCCAAACCACATAGAGCTTTAAAATTTAAAACAACACTTAATTCTTACAATAAAACAAATTGATCCACTTTTGGTAGTGGTTTAAGGCTACAAAAATAGTTATAGCAAGGGTTACACCTTTATTTCATACCTGGGAATTGAGCAAATATTTGGCTCCAAGAGACCAATCATACATCCCAAGGCAAGTAATCAGCACCACGAGTTTTAATGGTTTCTCTATTATTTCTTCTAGCCTTAGAAAATCATATTCAAAGAGCCTTCTACAGCGAAGGAAGGTTAATTCACGATATTTCTCGAGTGATAATTCTTCTCCAGCAACACGAGCAAAAAGAGGATCATTTTCAAGAGCGGAGAATATTTTATTCTTTAAGGAAGACAAATATAAGAATTCGTGAACAAGTCAGGTCTGAGGCATACTTATTCTTCTTCTTCACATTTAAGAATTTGTAAACATTTCCCCCATGTGGCAAGCAAAGTACACGAACAAAATATTTAAAAATCAATTGTTAGAATCCTGTTGCACAGTTGCATAAATGGCACGACGTTTAGAGGCATATTGCCATAGATTAAGAAACTGAAGCAGATCTTATGAGCTGCATGCTGAGTACAGTATGTTTTGTGGCATTGTGAACTAATAACATGGTTTTAAGGAATAAAAAACACTCAGTTTAAGAGAAAAGTGATCTAGCAAGGGTACTATGTAAGTCTCATCTCTAATACCAGGATAGTAAATTCCAACTTTGCCCATTCCATCTGAGACACCTGTACCTCACCTGTCACATAAATTTGATAATACCTAATACATGAGAGGACATGGTGGCGCTGCGGGCTAAACTGCAGAAGCCTGTGCTGCAGGGTCAGAAGACCAAGCAGTCGTAAGATCGAATCCACGCAACGGAGTGAGCTCCCGTCGCTTGTCCCAGCTCCCGCCAACCTAGCGGTTCGAAAGCATGCAAATGCAAGTAGATAAATAGGGACCACCTCGGTGGGAAGGTAACAGTGTTCTGTGTCTAAGTCGCACTGGCCATGTGACCACGGAAGATTGTCTTCAGACAAAACGCTGGCTCTATGGCTTGGAAACGGGGATGAGCACCGCCCCCTAGAGTCGAACACGATTGGACAAAAATTGTCAAGGGGAACCTTTACCTTTAATACATGAGAGTCAACTTGTCCAGCCAGAAGTATCTTTATCAAAACCGAAACAGCCACGACTAAACGACTAAACACACACTTAGCAGGCCTTCAGCAACTGGCTGTTTGCTAAAAGAGGGATGGTGTTTCACCAGGTTGTTGCCGTATTTTCTTCACTAGTGTGTTTTCAAATTGAGCTTTAATTTGTTATACCCTTTTATATTTTTAATTGTACTTGGGTTATTAAACTGTAAGCCCCCTTAAGTTCTATTAGTGAGATAAATAAATAATAAATAAGTTGTACCTTAAATCTGATGAGATCATCCTCTTCTATAAACAGGGCCATCTCCTTCCAATTAAAAGATGCTTTTTTCCGGTAGGCACAGAGTGGTCCATTAGGTAGGTCTGGAAGCAATGATGTGTTCAGAGGGCAGGGCTTTTTCAGGTCAGAGGAAGAGGCCATTGTGACACACAATAATTGTTTTGGATCTCCAAACTATTACACTTGAATACACCAGTTTTGAAAGATTTAACAAACACTTCTGGAGAACAGAGGACAAAAACAATGGATGATTGCTTCAGCTGGCAAGAACCAGAGGTTAGAAGTATGTACATGTTAATAAAAAAATACATTTCCTATACTGGACCTGCTATAGTGACAGTCCTTATTTAATGTTCATAAACTGGCTTCTGATCCAGTCCTTATGATACAAGAGCAAAGAAACACAGGTGCACCACAGTGTTATATGAGTCCTAGAAGAGACCAAGGTATCATGCGTTACTGTGGATCAAACACTACTGAAGATCAAGCAACTACAGCTCTTCTTTGTATCTAGTCCTTGCAGTTATCATCCGTTACCCCACATCTTTGGAGGATCCAATAATACTGTATGAGAATAACAGTTACTCATCACACACATGCTCAGGTGAAAGAAAGAAAAACAGTACCCTCTCCCTCTTCTGCTACACTACAAGAACTAGGCAGTGTTATTGGGAAACCTGAACTGAAACAAGTTGAAACTTCTACAAAAGTTCCTTAACAAATAACCTTCTGTTCCAGGAGGTGTCAATAAACAATACAGAAGCGCAATGCTCTCTGAAGAGCTCTTATTAATTTCACCTTCTTCTCAGAATTAAACCAGCAATGTGAACACCATGAGACCCAAGATGCCACAGCACAGACTGGAGGAAGCTGACCACAAATAGTAACAAGTATCATGGAACTAACCAAGCTAGCTTATTATCCACACTGAAAGAAATCTCCAGCATATCAAGTACTGTAGATGTCTTCTTATCTCTTTAGTTGGAAATCCTTAATTTGAAGATCCTAATAATTAAACTTGAGATATCTGCATATAAATTATTTATAGGACCACTGTGATCAAGGAATCAGTATCTGCGGTTTCACTTATCCATATCCTGAAAATATTAAATGAAAAAATAAAAAACAGGAAATACATATGTCTAGAACTGGCCACTAGAGGGAACCAGAGATTATGCCATATACAGTATAGAAACAAAATTCTAATTAAGAGATTTAATACTGTACTACACACACTGTAGTCAGAATCTGGCAATCTGCTCCTTGCCCCCAGAAAGCTACAAAGGATGGTTAAGCAGAACAAAGTGCAGCCTCATGTTTACTCCCCAGACCGATTTTTCGACCTCCCTCCATCATCCTGATAACACCGACGGGCAGGAAACTCCAAAGTCGAGGTTCCTTATCTATTCTGAGTGACAACGCAATCAAGAACGCATTTGCTTAAAAGCAAACCCAGCTACATCCCACGTCTTCCTTCCAGGAAAGGGTTCCCAGAACTGCAAAATACGGCAGCATATTGTTACCTTCTAGTCCTGAGAGAAGGACCCCCCCCCGTTGTCCCTGACTGACCCCGTCATAC